TTTGGGGTCGGGAATAATCCAGGATTTGGGATTTGGGGTCGGGATTTGGGGTTGGGGATTTGGGGTTGGGGTGGCCTCACACAGCTCCGGGAGCAGCTCCAGGGGGAATTGGGGCGGATCCGGGGACAGCTGGAGAGCGCCCAGCAGGTTTGGGATTTGGGATTTGGGATTTGGGGTTAGGATTTGGGATTTGGGATTTGGGGTCACCCCGCACGATCGGGAACTCGAGCGGCTCCAGGGGGAAATGGGGCGGATCCGGGGACAGCTGGAGAGTGCCCAGCAGGTTTGGGATTTGGGATTTGGGATCTGGGGTTTGGGATTTGGGGTCGGGATTTGGGGTTTGGGGTCAGGGTTTGGAATCAGATTTTGGGTTTGGGGTTTGGGGTCACCTCGCACGATCGGGAACTGGAACAGCTCTGGGAGCGGCTCCAGGGGGAAATGGGGCGGATCCGGGGACAGCTGGAGAGCGCCCAGCAGGTTTGGGATTTGGGAATAATCCAGGATTTGGGATCGGGATTTGGGATTTGGGGTCGGGGTTTGGGGTTTGGGGTTAGGATTTGGGATTTGGGATTTGGGGTCACCCCGCACGATCGGGAACTCGAGCGGCTCCAGGGGGAAATGGGGCAGATACGGGGACAGCTGGAGAGCACCCAGCAGGTTTGGGATTGGGATTTGGGATTTGGGGTCGGGATTTGGGGTTTGGGGTCACCTCGCACGATCGGGAACTGGAACAGCTCCGGGAGCAGCTCCAGGGGGAAATGGGGCAGATACGGGGACAGCTGGAGAGCACCCAGCAGGTTTGGGATTGGGATTTGGGGTCAGGGATTGGGATTTGGGGTCAGGATTTGGGATTTGGGGTCAGGGTTTGGGATTTGGGGTCGTGAATAATCCAGGATTTGGGATTTGGGTTTGGGGTTGGGATTTGGGTTTGGGGTTGGGATTTGGGGTCAGGGTCCCACCCCAAACTGATCCCTTTGGAGCCTCCATTCACTGCAGGGTTTGGGTCCTGTTGTCCCAAAATTCCCAATCTGAGGGATCCTAAACTGGACTTGGGATCTGGGGTCGGGGTTTGGGATTTGGGGTCGAGGTCCCAAAATGTTCCAGAATTTTTTGGGGGATTTCTTTGCAATCTCACCAGAATTCTTGGGGGGATCACCCTGGAATTTTTTTTTAGGATTTTTTTGGGCTCTCGTCCCTCAGGGGAGAATTGTCTGGGAATTTGGTCTTGGGATCTCACCAGAATTTTTTTGGGATTTTGTTTGGGAATCTCATCGGAATTTTGGGGGGATTTCTTTTGCAATCTCACTGGAATTTTTGGGGGAATGTTTTTTGGGATCCCACTGGAATATTTTTGGGATTTTTTGGGGGATTTTTTTGGGATCTCACTGTAATTTTTTGGGGTTTTTTTTAGGGATTTCACTGGAATATTTTGGCGATTTTTTTGGGGGGATCTCACTGGAATTTTTTGGAATTTTTTTGGGGGATCTTAGCAGAATTTTTTGGGATTTTTTTTAGGGATCTCACCATAATTTTTGGTGTTTTTTTGGTGCAGGACAAGTCCGGGCTGGAGTCGGAGCGGGACAAACTGGGAGCGCTGGTGCGGGAGCTGCAGCGGGAACTGGAGGAGAGCGCGGAGGAGACGCAGAACTGGAGAGAAATGTTCCAAAAAAACAAAGAGGAGCTGAG